TTATTATTTTTATTTTTATTATTTTATTCATTATCATAACTCACTTATTATCAAGTCTCACTTTCGTTTGATTTAGAGTGTTCAATCGACATAAATAAACTACAAATTACAAAAGAACTATTTTTTCCGTACAATTGTTTAATGGTTAATTCGAAGAGCTACTGTTATTGGAGTATAGTCAATTTTCTCTAACCCTTAATTTCTCTGAGGACGTCAATCATTATTATGTTACAAAAAATGTTTGGAGAAAGAGGCTTTAAATTCAACAATTCATACTACCTTTAACTTAATGTAATGTATAATTATCATCAAGCTTAATATTATTTTTTATGTAATCTGTTAATTTATTAGCCAAAAGACGATTCATTCTGCAAAAGAGTTTAATTATATCATTAGAGACGCAAGGAATAATCTTAAAAAAAAGTTTCATCTCACTTAAAATAATCCATCTAATGAGAATAGTCATTTGTTTAGTCAATGATTATTACATTGATCCTTCATACATGATACATATTGTAACATGGTTTGAGTACAAACAAGATAATGGCTGATCTGTTCTTGATTTATCGAAATTCGGTTGATTTCTTATCGAGTTTACACGTGTTTTCTCCAGACTTTTTGATAATAAACGACGTTTCAGTACTATTTATGGTTATTCTTCAAAATGTTGTGGTGTTGTCCAACTACTCATTTTCATCAATAAAAGACCCAGTTCTTGGACAATCAAAAATGTACCTTGTACTTAACTAATGTCTGGAGTACCACTATGGTACCGTCTCTTTGTGTACATACTTATTTACGTTTGAGTTTCCATCTCACAGTTAAATTTGGTTTTCAAATCTGACTGCTCCTAATTTAAAACTAAGTACCTTTCCTTACTCTGACTCCACTTTAAATCTACTCAACATTTGTAATAGAAAAAGGAGCAGTACTTATATGTAAGGGTAGGGCGGGGCAATCCAAGCGGCGGGGTAATCGTGGCTTTTCTTAATATCTTTTTGTAAATTCATCCAATTGTAAAAAAAATGTTTTTGATAAGTCCTGACCCTAACGTGTTTTTTTTACATTTGAATGTAGCAACAAAAAACCATATTTTTTGAATGAAAACAAGTCAAAGTGTACTGTCGCCTTGCAGTCCAAAAAATAGTTTTCATATCAGTTTTATAGCATGAAAAATGTTTTTAAAAACCTAAAAACTTTAATTTTAATCGTGAAATGAAAAAAATATAATAAAATATAAGCTTAACGTTCATAAAAAATTTTAATAAAAATTTCAACAAATTTTTTCAGAATTGATGATTTAAAAAGAGGATAGTGAAGCGGTATTTATAGGCAGATCAAAGCAGTTTCGTAACGTTTGTTTTGTCTGCTCTAACTTCAAAAAAAAGGTAGCTGTGATAAAACAAAACTTGTTTCTTACTTATAAAAATTGCGTCTGTATTAATTATTTACCAAATTATTTATAACTTAGTAATCATAAAAGTAATGCGATTTTTTGTCAGGTAGTTAAAAAAAATCAACTATACAACTGCTCCGAATGCCCCACGCAAACCGCTCCAATTGCCTCACTTTTTCCAACCTGACAGTCACTTCGATTTTATATTTAAAAAAATATATTTTTAAGTGCAGGTGAAAGAATAATATATTCTTTAATGTGCTCGTAAGTTATTTGTACATCATATATATATTTTTTAGTGTCATTAATAAAGTATCGTTACAGTAATAGTGTTTAAAAGGTAAGGCTGTGAAAAAGCACTCCGATTCTTCCACCCTACCTACAGATGTATTAAATTTCAACTCACCCAAATAAACCAAAAAGATCATTGTGTCATCCAAAACACAACATTTGAAAGTATAAGCTTTTCTGGCATTAGGAGAGTGTCCATTCAACACGTATATTAATGTAGCTTACTTAAAAATGTTTAATCTTCGATTCTAAATTTGCTTCAAACTATAATATTTATCGTGATTGTCCCTACAAAAATTATCGTGCTGATGGTTATCGTGAAACAAGCGACATCATGGGACTGTTTGACCTAACTTGGTCAATTTTTACCATGATGCACAGTAAAAATCGTCGGGCAACCAACAAAATTTTCCCTCACCGATCTTAGCTACTAAATGAAATACACTGACTTCGTTGCTTAAATATTCAATAAAATAGCTCCGTAAATCTTGTTCGTTCAATACCATAACCTGAAAATTCATACACATGTTCTTGAGACCTGATCGGCTAATGCTGGTCAAAGAAAAATGAAAATTTCGAAATTTCATAACAGACTTTCTTTGACTGAATATGCGTGTTGCATGTTTTCGGGATGGAATTATTTTTGCATGTAAGATAATGTTTTAGATTATCACGGTAAAAATTAACTAAACAAAGCCAAAGAGTCCCGTAATGTCGCTTTGTCCTACGATTACCGTCAGCACAGTAATTTTTGTAGGGACAACTAAGTTAAAAGTTATAGTTTTCTTCTCTGAGTATTTATACTTATGAAATCATTTATTACATTACTATAATAATAATAA